GGGGGGGGGGTCACCACCACATGAGGACCTGTCTGAAGGAGCAGCAGGAGGAAGGGTGAGAAGCGCTGTCGTGGTGGACTGCACATACACGCTGGGAACCGAGTCAGCAGTTAGAAACACACGGCTGTTACAGCACCGGAGACAGATGAGGCTTCCTACTCCTAGAAAGGGGCAGTTCTGCCCTGTCCTGGAGGGATCAACCCGATGCAGCGAGTTTGGGCTTTGAGAGGGCTCCCCTCCGCAGCACTGTGCCCCTGTTTGCAGTCACCACGCGGAGCTGGCGCCTGTCCCCTACCCTGACTAGAGAAGAGAGCAGGCCCCGGGAGAAAGTAGGCCCTGCACTCCTACAGACTTTATGGTATGGCGTTCAGCCCCCCCTCCCCCACCGCTACAACATCCAGACACAGACATGGTCTGTCAGACCCCTGCAGGCAGACGCCCTCCTGGTGCTGCCGCTCAGCTGCCTTGCAGGGATCTTGGCTTGCCCCTGTAGCGTCCATTTCCTGGCCCTGTCTTTCATTCCCGGAGACTCCAACAGCAGCTTGTGCAGCCAAGGTGGGGGCTCGTGTGTATTTTAAGTTTGCCTCCTTGCAGAAGGCTTAGGGAACTTCCAGAAGATCACTGTGAACTCACGCTGTCTTAATCAGGGCTAACCAAGAAGAGATGAAAGAGGGGAATCAAAGGGGAAAGCAGCTTCTACATGAAACTTAGTCTATTGCTTGTCTCCAGATCTGGACCTCCCAGGTTCCAACTTATTCAAAGGGACCTTGTGGTCTCCCTCCTCGGCATGGCACCTTGTCAGGGGACTCTGAGCACCACTGTTTATGCTCACAGCCCTCCCCCCCACAACCTGAAGTGCTCCAGTGGTGGGTAGTTGGGGTGCCATTTCTATTGGCATTTAGCTTATGGATTTTATTCGCTTAAGTGAGGATTTTTATTTTGAAATAAGTGTCCTTGCTATAGGACAAAAGGCATAGAGGATGGATTGTTTTGGCTTTCAAGATGTAACTGGGGAATTAAAAACCATTTGGGGCTAGTGACCTCTAAAGAGAGTCTCCAGAGGGTTAGTATCCCCGGTTTCTTTTTGGGATGGCTGAATCTGTGACTCTTACATTCTATTCCAGTGATAACTCTTTCATACGCATCTCCAGAGCCAGAACACCTCCCAATAAGGAGGTGCATTTATAACCCACTGAACTCTTAGACACTTAAGTCAAGACTCAAGGGGGCACAGCCCTTTGTCTTCCAGATGGGGAAACTGGTCCACAACAGGTGAGGTGGTCTGTGGTGGGGTGGAGCTAACAAGCAAAAAGGTCACACAGCAGGTTGAGTAAAAGAAAAAACAAAAGCAGAACTCACGGTCATCAAGCCGATGCCAGTTCTACAGGACTGCTTCTTCCAGTTCCCGAGACGTTAGATCTTTACTAGAGCAGATAGCCCCCCCTTTCTCCTATGGAATATTTGGTGGGTTCAAACTGCTGGCCTTTCGGTTAGCATAATGCATGCTCCTCTATGCCAAGCCCTCAGGGCTCCTGGAGATGTGGGTAGCAGAGCCCCAAAGTGTAGCCCTGAGCTTCTCACTTGCTGTTTTGTGTTTTTTCCTTACACTTTCTAAAGAACCGGAGCTGTGAATTTTAACCTAGCAGGAAAGGGAGAGCCTTTCAGACTGCAGGTCAGTGAGGTTTACCTTCAGGTATCCCTCCCCATTTCTGTGCCCTTCCGGCAGGAGGGGGCTCACCTGATTAGCTCATTCTTTTCCAGGGAATAGAGAGGCATTGGTTAGCCCCAGGAAATAATTCAACTCTGGGAATATCACTGTCACTCACAGTAGCCCTTAAGTGAGGGAGCGATTTTAGCCTTACTGATAACAAATGGCATTCCTTTCCACACTTGGGTGGTTCATAGTCCATCTGCACCATGTTTACCATACTTGCATTCCACTTGAACATATATTTCATATTTCTCTTTTTGTGGCCTCACCTTTTAAAATTAATCTATTTATTTTAATCATATCAGGAAAGTAAATGTGATAAAACTATTATCCAGATTATAACAGGTATGTCTTACTAAAAGTGGCGAAAGATAATTTATTAAAGTCAGATCTGTGTTGTTTCTGTAATTTAAGCCAGTGTAACGATGAATAATGGCTTTTTCACATTGAGTATCTTTTAAAGAGTTTTAAATTCCAAATGGCCTTCTTATAAGGATGTCAATCATTAGTTTTTGCTCTAATTCAGCAAGACAGCGTCTTAACTTGCTTACCTCTGTGGAGGCCTCATTTCTGAATAACATCCCAGGTACTTGCTCTATTTTATTTCTTTTTTATTTTTGTAAAGATGTAATATTATTTCAAAACTTTTCCATACAATTTAGTGATACTGGTTACATTCATCATATTTTGCAACCATCATGTATTATTGCCTAATTTCCCAATCCGATTGTTATGAATAAAACTGCTTCCTAAACCATGGCTCCCCCTTCTCCCTGCCCCACACCTGGTAACCACCAATAGATTCTAAACCCATTGGGGCTCATAGCGACCCTGAAGGGCAAAGCAGAACTGCCACATAGGGTTTCGTAGGCAGTGATCTTTGTGGCCTGGGGTCATGAAGGCTGTAATCTGGGCTGTAATCTGTAATCCAGGTGGGGTTCAGAAGAGGACACAGAACAAGGAACAGCATTGCTGAGGTCAGATGCATCTTGCCTGAAAGCAAAGAATAACAGATATTGTACTTTATTGACTATTCCAAGGTATTCAACTCTGTGTGGATCATAACAAATTATGGAGAGCCTTGAAAAAATTGAGATTCCCAGAACACTTCAATGTGCTCCTGCACAACTTGTACATAAATCAAGAAGCAGCTGTGTGACTGGAACAAGGGAATACTGCACGGTTTAAAACCAGGAACGATGTACGGCAGGGGTGTATCCGCTGCCATAGTTACGCAATCTGTAGGCTCGCCAGGAGTCTGTCAGCCCCACTGATGACAACGGGTTTGGTTCATTTTGTTTTGTTTCTTAAGTAGAATTAATGTGGTATCTCAAGTGTGGTTTTGATTTGCATCTCCAATTACTAATGACAATTGAACATCTTTTCATGTGCTTGCTGGATTTGAATATCCTCTTTGGTGAAATGTCTGTTTAAGGACTTCAAGAGATTTTGCAGGGAGGCACAATTTCACCCAGTGCAGTCTTCCACAAGGATTTTGGGTGCTTCCAGAAGCACCCTTTCTAAGGTCTCCCTCAGGCACTACACTCTAACAGGTGCCCGGGGGTATGATTTGTGATAGTGAGGAATTCAAGCACACTTGTACCTCCCCTGGGGGTCGTGATTGTCACAAGTGCTAACCCCACTTACTGATGGTACGCAAGTGGACAGCCTAAGAGTGCTTCCGAGATGGCACGGGGCGGGTGAGAAAAGCTCTGAGCAGAGCGTGCGGTGGGCGGGGCGGGGCGGTGGTCCTTGGCACTTTCTCCCAGCTGAGAATGGCAGAGCCCTGGGTTGCCGCCACACCCCTGGA